GAGCAGCAGAGACAAAGCGGACGAGGAGCGCGACAGCGCTCGAGAGGACCACCTGTGCGACCCTCACCCGATCCCGAAGGTTCAACTGGCCGCAGGCCGTATATATAAAGAAGAAATTCTCGGAGAGCAGGCAATGTGGGCTATCTCATGGCAAGAGACTGGAGGGCGAGACCAGGCTGAATGTGCAACGCTTCGACGATACAGCGAGAGGCAGCCTGGGCGAGGAGACGAGGATACACGGCGGCGACAGCAGTGCGCTTTCGCCCTTGCTCATCGTTGCCCTCCAGAATTACATGGCGATTGCCCGAGTGACTGCAAATGCCTCTTTTTCAAGAGCAGACAAGCTGTAAACGGTGCATGGCGCCCGCGCCCCAAGACATGATGGCCGTGGCTTTCTTGAAATCAGCGCCGCACTGACACTGATGCAGAACAGACTTCTGGCAGGACGGCCGGCGACACAAACGAGCGAGGGGGGGGCACGACCAGATCTGCGAGGTCTGTGGATTCTCGAGAAAGACGGGCGCACGGGCAGAGATGCACTCACGAATTATGATCGCTGTCATGCGCAGCGTGGCATTGCCCGCGGCGGCGCGAGCCTGCTCTGACGATGAGAGGTCGGGCAGCCCGAACGGGTGGCGGTCCGACCTGAGCGGGCGCCGCAGGGCTCGCGTCCAGCTGGTGCAGGGGGGGCCCAGCCAGACAGCACCCACCGCGCGCGACCGGATCCAGCCGACGACGGTGGCGATGAAGGCAGGCAGCACATGATCCTCCAGTGGGCTGCGCTGCCAGTCGAGCCCAAATGCGGCGACGCCGCGGGCAAGCAGCGCCTCGGCGATCCTGCCGGCCCGCAGAAGAGCTCCAGCACGGGGCGGCGCCTGAGGGCCCGGCCTGGCGCGGCAGCGCGGCGATGCTGCCGCTGCAGGTGCCGCTTCACCGCGTCCGCCGGCGGGCAGCCGCCGTCGCCGCCTGGGCCGCGGGCCGCTTGCGTGGGCGACCACCGGCGGCCGGCTGCCTTCCCCGAGGCAGCGGGCGGAGGAGCGACGCGGCGGCGGCCGGGACGCGGCCAGTCGCTAGCCAGCTGGGCAGGCAGCCGCCGACCAGCGCCTCCAGGTTGCTCTCGACGAAGGCCCCGAGCTCCATCACCTCGGGCGGGATCCAGGCGAGCTCGTCCAAGAGCTTGGTCTCCTTTGTGTAGCGGTTCAGGCTCTTGGCTGTCCGCCAGCGGCCGCGCCGCTGGATCTCGCCCAGCTGGCGCCTCTGGGAGAGCATGTCGTCCGAGGCCCCCCCATGGCGCAAGCTGTACAAGTGCGGGCGAAGCCAGTCCAGCGACAGCCGACGGCAGGCCTGAGCGAACAGCGCGCCCAGTCGGCCCACCTCCTGGCCCCACAGCGGCTCCGACGGCGCTGTGGACTGCTTCAGAGCGCGCAGCAGCGGGTTGAGCCAAGCCTCGCGATCGAAGAGGATGCTCTCGTCGTTCACGCCCGTCTTGCCTGGCTCCTGCCCGCTCTCGTGCAGGAGCAGCCCGAAGAACTGGTAGCCGGCGCCCGCCGCCACCGACGGCGATATCAGATGCCGCCCGCGCAGCTTCGCCGCCTCGCCAGGCCCGAGGTACGAGGCGAACATGACGAGGATGCAAATGGCCAGCCGTGGGAACCCGTCGTGGGCCAGGAGGCCAGCCAAGGCGAACACCACGCGACGCGGCAGTGGCAGCCGGGTGCGCGCAGGCGCGCGCCGCGCCCACGCCGCAGCCGCGCGGTGAGCCCTCGGCAGCAGCAGCGAGGTCCGCTTGTGGAACGAACCAAGGAAGTGCGCCACCGCCGCCAAGAGGACGTTCCCCTGGTTGCCGCCGCCGCCGAGGAGGAACTCGCTGTCCATGTGCAGCACCAGCGCCTCGTCCAGGCCCGAGTGCGTCACCCAGTCCAGGCGGCGCTCGACACAGAAGTCGACGAAGCTGGTGAGAGCCCCCCGGTAGAGGCGAGCCGTCGAGCTCCTCGCCGCCAGCCGCTCGAGCAGCGACAGCCCCGCCACCGCCGTCGTCCCCGCCGCCAGCGCTTGCGCATGGCTCGCTCGCTCGGCCCGGAGCGCCGAGGGCGCCGGGACGGCCGAGCGGCGAGCCGCCGCCGCAGCCTGGGCCAGTGCCAGCACCAGCACAAGCCGCCGCATGGGCGAGCAGCCCGCCTCCAGGGGGCTGCGGCGCCGGCCGACTGCCAGAGAACCAGCCAGCGCGCCCGCGGCTGAGCGCGTCGGAGGGGTTGGCCTCAGAGAGTATCCACCTCACTGCCAGGGTTGAGCCAGTGGCCACGGAGAGCGCGCAGATCTTGCGAAGCGTGCTCTGGAGGTGTTTACTGCGGGCCCGACCCTTACCGACGGACAAGACGAGCGGCAGGCTGTCGGAGAGGATGAGGAACCGAGACCCGAACGCGGATGTGGACCTCAGGAGGTGCCGATACCCAAGAACGAGCGCTTCCCCCTCCAGAGCCAGGATGTTGGCCCTCCCCTCGATGTACACGGCGGCGGCGGAGCCCCAGGCGGGCCCACGGATGAAGTGGGGCGGGACCTCGTCGAAGTCCACCACGGGCCTCATGTCCATGATCGACTTGTAGGTGTCCCCAGGAGCCCTCGGCAGCTGCAGCTCGACCAGGCCCCCAGAGGCCTCTCCCAAGACGCGATCGAACGGCAGGCCCTCGGTGAAGCCATCCCCGACGAGCTGAGTACTCACCCCAAAGTCGCCCTCGAGGCCCCCGAACTGCTCGGACGAGTTATCACCGTTGATCCCGATCGTCCTGCGCCTTGCCTGCGCACCTCCCTCGACCTTGTACCTCCACTTTTCAGCGACTCTTCCAATGGTGCCCACGCGGTCCTTTGGGGCGCGACGAGCGACGACGCCCAGCCCAAATGGCGAGGCGTCCGCGCAAGCAACTCGCCCGTGCCACGGGGCACCAAGGTCAACAGTGCAGAGCGGCAGCAGGTCGTGGACTAGCTGGAGCTCATGTCGGACTGCGGGCAAAAGCGGCGACGCGACTGGCCCAGTGGCCTCGACGTTTGCGTAGGTGGCCCCGAAGATGCACAGCAACTCTCTTCGCAGCAGCAGCGCCCAGGTGATGTGGCCGGTCAGAACGCGCAGCAAGAAGCCGCTGATGACCTGCCTCCGGAGCGTGGCGCGAATGGCCGCGCGCAACCGCCAGATGTTGCGCGTCTTGAGGCTAAGCCAGCGCCCCTCGCGCAGCGATAGCCCCAGAAAGTCGCGATCCTGGGAGGGCGCCTCGAGCTCGTGCACGGTGAGCCCGTGGCGCGTCAGGTCGTCGGTGATGGCCTGCAGCCGCTCGCTCACAGTCTTTGGGGAGCCGCCGAGGACGAAGTAGTTGTCCACGTAGCCGGCGCCCGCGACCGAATCCAGGTCGCTCGTGAGCTGGCAGCCGCACCGGCCGTCAAGGATGAGGTCGCTCTGAGGGAAACCAGCGCGGCCCAACGATGCCTCCAGCACCGTCTGGCAGAGGTGCAAGGCCCAGCTGAAGCCCATCGGCAGCACCACCACCTGGGGCAGCAGGAGCGACTCGCCCTCCACCCCGTCCACAGCGACCCCGCACGGAGCGAGATGCTTGGCGGGGATGGGCGGCAGCGCGAAGAACTCCTCCATCCCGTCCGGGACCCGCATGTGGTAGAAGGCCACGTCCAGGTCCGCCGAGGCGATGGAGACCCGCGCGTCGCCCGTCTCGAGCCGCCCCCAGGCGGACGCAGACGGCAGCTGGGTGCGAGGCGCATCGACGAACGCGCAGTTGGCGAGCCGCGCGTCGAAGATAACCCTCAGACGACCACTTTTATTTGGCGCGAAGAAAATCCCCATGTTGCCCCGGCGCCCTCGCGCAGGGGCAAACGTCAGCATGCTGCGCTCCATCATGGCGCTGAGGAAGGCAGCGTAGTCGGGCAGCGAGCGCAGCAGCGCAGGGTCCGTGCACGGGCCGCGCGGGCACGCCTCCGCCCGCAGCTGCCGCGCCTCCTCGCGCTCGCGGAGCATTTGGCACCCCCACTCCCGCAGCGCGGCAGAGTCGCGCTCGCCCAGTAGCCCAAAGAGCGGCGCGGGCGGCTGCGACACATCAGGCCAGGAGACAAGGTCTGGCACGTAAGGAGTGGTGGGCCCGCCGCCGTCAGGGTACAGGGCGGACCCAGCAAGGAGCCCCCGCAGGGCCCCGTTGTTGTCGGAGACGTCGTCACGATACTCAGGTGGCTCAGGGCCCAGAGCAGCGACCGAGTCCCAAATGTGGGCGGCGGCGCAGCGCCGCCCGGCAGACGGCGTCGGCGCGGGCGAGGACTGGCCGCCGTAGAGGTCATTCAGAGCATGCACGGCAGCATTGGCACGGTCCAGCGCGTGCGTGAAGGCATGGCCGGCCCGAACCCACCGCCGAGTCCCGGACACGCGGGACGCCGCGTCAGCAGCAGCCAGCGGCGGTAGCGGAAAGATGCCCCGCTGCCGGTCGTCGTCCTGCAGCCGGCGCCCAGCGCCGCCAGGGGGGAAGCCCACGCTGTTGGCGGGCTCCGCGGGGGCCAAGGGGGACGGGGGCGGCGGCTGGCCAGGCCATCCGCCCCGGGGCGAGTCAGCCATCGCCCCCTGCGGCGTTGGGCCCGCCGCCGCGGCCGCTGCGGCCGCCGCCGCGCCTCCCCCTTCCGCGCCCTGCACCAGGCTGGCCGGGCACGCCCCCGGCGAGGGCGCGCTCCTCTCGCGCCTTGCGCCTCTCCTTCGCCACCGCCATCTCCCGCTGCAACTCCTGCGCGAGGTGGTCGCGCAAGTCCGGGCAGACGCACGCCGACCCGTCGAGCTCCTGCGACCCCATCATGACCGCGCGGTCCGCCGCGCCGGCATCACACGGGGTGACCAACTGGCGGTAGCGCTCCTCCTGCACCTGCACCGAACGGGCCACGAGCTCGAGGTGTGCCAGGTTCGTGGCGTGCTCCTGATCGTAAGTCACTGCCGATTCCAACACCATGCACCCCATCTGGTGGACGTCCACTCCCGGCGACTCGGGGTCGAGCCCGGTCTCCGCTAGCCACCGCTGGTGGTGGGCCGTCGGAGTCCCCGACCTCTGAGCCATGTGCTGCAGCACCCACAGCAGCGTGCGCGGTCCGCGCACTGGCCAGTCAGGCCAAGGGAACTCGACCATCTGGGCGACCATGACCCGGAAGTCGGCACGCCGCACTCCTCGCGCGCCCCTCACGACGGCGAAGATGCGGGCGTCGCCGCCAGGGCTGGCCTGGGCGCCGCCAGCCGGCACGCCCGCGGGCGCAGGCACTGCAGCAGGCGGCGCGACGCCGGGGGCGGCGGCCACGGCAGGCCCGGCTGGCCCAGGGGCCAGCATGCCGAGCCCAGCGGGCGGCGCGGGGGCCCCCCCTGCGACAAGAGCCGCCGGTGCGACCGCAGCAGCGACTGGAGCTGGCGCCGGGGCGAGTGCGCCACCGGCAGCGCCGCCTGCTGGGCCTCCGAACGCAGCCACGAGCGCGGCCACTCCGCCGCCCTCCGGGCCTGGCGCACCGCCAGCCGGCAGCGCTAGGGCGCCCGCGGGCGCCGCCGCAGGGGCTGCCGCAGCGGGGGCACGCCCGGCGACTTTGGGCACCACGGGGCCAGCGGGCGCCGCGAGGCCCAGGCGGGCGCAGGCGCGGCCGGCGGCAGCGGTGAGCGCCGCGACCGTGGGGATCGTCCGGAAGCGGTAGTACCTCGCCGCCGGCGCCCACGGGAAGACCCCGCCAGGCGCCCCGCCAGGCAGCAGGTCCCAGTGGAGCACGTCCGCGTTGCCGACCACCTGCTCGTCGTACTCCTCGCCGTCGACCGTGACGATCGCTGCAGTGCCAGGGGTGCCGGGGTCCAGGGCGACCACGACGCGCTCGTGCACGAGCGCCCTCCCACCAACGTTATATTGGATGCCGACGAAGTCCCCGACGGTGACGCCCGCGGCGGCGAGCGAGCAGTGGGCCGGAGGACCAGGCGCCGCCATCACTGGGCAGCGAGAGCACGCTGGCGCAGCACCTTCACCTGTGCGCGGGCCTCTGCGCCCAGATCGTCGATCTCGAGGTCACGCCCCTGGCGCAGCCACGCACAGGCGTAGCCCGCGAGCCGCCGCAGCGCCTGCAGGGCCACCGCCGCCACCACCGCCAGCAGCGCGCCGGCGAGCAGGCCAAAGGCGAACCCGGCCCCGAAGCCCCGGCACTCTGCCGAGGCGGGCGAGGGGCAGGACCCAGCTGCCTCCGGCTCGGCCGCCGCGTGCGGGGCCACCGGGCACGCCGGGCACGACAGCTCCGGCGAGGCGCCGCAGGTCAGCGCCGGGCAGCCCGGGCAGGCCGGGCAGGCCGGGCAGGTCGGGCAAGCCCCGCAGCGCGGCTCGCAGCGGGCGTCGACCGCTGGGCACGCCGGGCAGGATGGGCACGCCGGCGGCCGCGCCAGCCAGGCCGCGCCGATCTGCCCCAGCCACGGCGCGGCGAGGCGGACAGCGCCGAGCATCCGCAGCGGAGGAAGGGGCGAAGAGGCGCGCCCCCGAAAACTTCGAGCCAGATATGAGTACGTCCGACCTGTTGCCTCTGCTCAGCCCTCAGTTGTGAAAGCTACCATATATATATATATATATATATATATATATATATATATATATACATTCACCCCGCTGAGGACGGAACCAGCCCGCCAAGGGTTACCTGAGGGGGGAAGTGAGAACGGGCAGACCTTCTTTCGGCGGCGAACGAGGGGGGCATGTGAGATGGAAAGGCCTTCTCAGAAGGCTCGGAAGTCCCCCAGCCTTCTGAGAAGTGTTCTAAGCCTTCCCCGAAGACAAACAGGTTTTCTCAGGAGGCGCGAGGGCATCTGAGAAGTCCCGCCGCCCTCTGAGAAGAACTTCTCCTTCTCACTTCCTCCCCTCGCTCGCCGCCGATTCTTAGAAGGCGGCGGGGCTTCACAAGGCCCTCCAGCCTTCCGAGAGGCCCTGCGGCTTCGGAGAATCGGGGCCCACCACCGAAGGGGGGACCCTGATGGGGGTGGGGGGAGTTCGATCCGCTGGTGCATCGAATTTCGGAAAAATGATACCCCCGCGCGCCCCGATTGTCGACGCCTCTCGGGTTCCGGCGGTGGCCAGAGACCTCGTTTTGCATAGTTGTTCTCGTTTTTTTACCGGTCCCGTTTTGCAATTTTTTTGCTGGTTCCGACGCCGTTTTTTTTCCGGTTCCGTCGCCGTTCTTTTACGGGTTTCCGCTCCGGTTCCAATCCTGGAGCCGTTTTTGTTGCCGTTTCCGGTCGCGTTTTTTTGCCGTTTCCATTTTCAAGGGGCACTTTTCGGAAACGGTGAAAAAACGGCCCTGCCGTTTCCGGAGCCCACTAAGGTTGTTCTGCAGTTCGATGCGCCAGCCGACCGAACTCCCCCCCCCCCTGTGGCACCCCGCCCCCTTGGCGAGTCCCGAGGGGAGGCGCTGGAAGCTCCTCCAGGAGGCCCGAGGCCTCCAGAGCCTCCTGAGCAGGCCGCCCCCCTCTCTGCCCTCCTTCCCCTGGCGGGCCGCCGAGACGGACCGAGGAAGGTCTTGAGCGCGAGGGCACGGCGGCCTCACGCCGCTGCGCTTGCGCAGGCCTCCTGCGCGGGAAGACAACATATCAGGTCGGACACGTCCTCCTACAGGCGGAGTTCGGAAGAAACCAACAAATAGTCAAGCGTACTCGAACACATCCCAGAAATGATCGAAACATCGTCACCTGACTATTGGTTACCATTCTTGAAGACTCCTCGTGTAGAGGGACATGCCCGACTTAAGACAAGTGCGAGGGAGGACCGTGGCGGTGCAGCGCGGCCTCGCGTGAGCGGCTTGCGCGCACAGGCCCACAGGCCGTGCCTCTTTGAAACAAGTCGCCAACGCCTGCCCATTCAACAACCCACGCACTGCGGCCAACTTTAGGAGGCAACTGCTGGCAGATCTTCGAGAGAACACTTCAGGCTAGAAAAACCGATTGAGCGGACACTGATCTGGATCAGGCCTGATTGAGCCCGATCACCCACCAGATGAAGCAACGGGCTAAGCCAGGGCGGATGCTGAAGTCAGCCTCTTAGGACTTGCATCCTGACTAACCTGTTTGCCACACAGGCGACGAACTGGCGCAACAGCACACGTGCCCGATGCACCTGGGAACATCACGCAGCAGACTGTGCTGCTGGTCGGCCGTTCAGACTTGCGGGTGAGATGTGGTGGATAGCGCGATCAACAGCAGAGCGGAGCAGGAGGACGAGCAGGAGAAGGAGAAGGATAAAAGAACGACAAACCACATACGCATAAACTCATGGCGCTCCTCTTGGATTAATTGGATACGCGCTGGTCCCCCACCGTGGCGCGCTCCGCGCGCCAGGGGCGGCGCCAGAGCCGCCGCCCGGGTGGACCCAGCGCGGATTCAAACCATCCGCGCGGAGCGCCACAAGTGTATGTGTATGACGTTTGTTTCTTCTTCGATTGGACATGTTTGACACCGACACACAACACAGGCACAACACACCGTGCTGAATCTAAATGTGGGGCGGGGGGCTTGCAAGGCGTACGTCATATGTGGGTGCACCAGTGTTCTTGTTTGCGCGCTGTGCAACCCAAACTTTGGGCAAACATCTACTACACACGCAACCAAAATTCGCGCCCACAGCCGTGGGTGACGCAGAACATACGGAACATGGCATCATTGGGCCATCGACTTCGCTTCTGGACAACGTAACAATGCACATCATTGCGGGATTAGGATGTCATGCCTTCGATCTTCTACGACAAGCGTATGAGTGACAAGAGGCCAAATAAACACAACTCGCCTGGGCTACGAACAATTGTTTATTGTTGTCGGGGCCGGCTCAGGAAAGTAAGACGAGCATAAGCCCATTGGACTTGCACGACTTAAAACTAACGCCGCCTCTGTCGCAACTAGTGCAGGACGGTCCAATGAATGTTCAGACTCCCGTTAAGATGACCCCCGAGTCCCCCAGGATGGGTCCAACGAGCCTCCAAGGCAGTCCAAGGGAAGCAAGAAAAGCGAGCCACCGCGGACCGCTGGAAGCCCCCGCCCCCGCTCCAAGATGCACCCAAGACCCCAACAGGCCCCCGAGAGGGCCCCCAGAAGCACCCGAGAGGCTCCCGAGAGGTCCCCCAGAAGCCCCCAAGAGGCACCCCAGAGAACCCGACAGGCCGCCAGGAAGCACCTGGCCCGCAACCCAAGCATGGCGGCGGGAACGGCCGAAGGCCGCCATAGTTCGCCGCTCTTCTTGGTTCCACGATTGGACGCAAAAGACATGGCTCTTCTTGACAATGCCCTGGGCGTTCTTTCACAGCTGTTTGAACTCAGCGTGTTGGGAACCAGTGTCCTAGCGTTTCTGGCCCCGGCCAGAGGCCTAAGAACACTAAACAAGGAGCCAATGTGTTTTGCGTGCTGAGCTCAATTCCAGCTTTTTTCAAATCAGTGGATTACGCAGTTTAACACGTGCGTCCACCACGTCATCGCGGCGCCCGCCATAGGGGCTGCAGAGGGGGGGGGTACCCCCAGATTCCCCCTGCTGCGGCAGCCCCTCGCGGCGCCCGCGGCAGGCGGCAGGCGGCGGCGGCGCTGCCCCAGGCTGCCTGCAGGGGAGGCCAGACGGCCAAGCGCCCAGAGGTTGCGTGGCACCGACGTGCCAGGAGACTTCGAGGACAAGCCCGCCCCTGGTTTCGTCTCCATTTTGCGTGCCGTTTGTTGAAACACCACCTTAGCAGCATTGCGTCGAAAAGCACTGGTACGTGGATTTGCTCTGGCTGTCAGGCTCACAATGAAGTTGGCAGTTGGAACTGCAAGGGATCGGTGCGTGAAATGGGCGAGTGGCGCAAGTGCAGCATGACGTGGTGGGAGTTTCAGCAGCGTCAGGCATATGACAGGCGCCGTGAACGAGACAAGTCCACGTGCAGATTGGATGTCAAAACAGTGTTGGGCTCTCATATGATGTTTACCCAGACGTACGCCCTCAAGCATCCTGCGAACAAGCCCCCACCTGAAACCAGGGACGCGAAGCAGTATAAGCAGATGGTCGAAGATTGCATGACGAGGCTAGCGGATTCTAATTCTAATTCTAATTTTGTCAAGGGCATGGTCCTTCTCTAGCTTAGCAAAAACTGTACAGGTCGGGGAAAACAGACCCCGACTTCGGGGGAAGCCCCCGAGACGAACGAGACAGCACCGCACGTCCAGCTGCGGCGGGTCGCCCGCACCCCTTCTTGAGGGTGCGAGGGGGGTTCACAGTGCAGAACCCCCCGCACATCTCACAATACAGAACGCCTCGCAGCACCGCCAGCTGGTGCGAGGAGTCGCACAGGCCCGCCATAGGGGTGATCGAGCGCCCCTCCACACAGCGCAGAAGGTCCCAAATCATCGGGAGAGTGGCGGCAATATCCCCGTCCAGGGGTACGAGCTGGGAGGGCTTGAATTCGTTGATCAATCCGGCTCCGAGGCTTACAGGGGCCAGGCCAGAACTCAAAAAGCTTCCCTCGCAAGGGACATCCTCGGTGACACACTTTACATTTGATAGCAGCAGCAGAGCACCGAGGGTCGTGATCAGCATCACGCAAACGACAGAAACGCTCGGAGAGACTCGTAGCTTGGCCTCTGACACGGCGTGGAACCTTCTCGCCGCGCCCGCGTTCACTCAGAAAGACGACCTCCCGCTGGACCGACAGCAGCTGCTGAAGCACTTCAGTGGCCAGCTTGTCGGCCTGGCGGGTGGCGCTCCCATCTTCATCTGACATTTGTGCGCGGGCGGCGGCAGCGTCAGCAACATAATCCGCAGCTTGAATGAAATAGAGCTCAACAGGGGATAAACATAGGTGTTGGTATTGGGCCTGGGTGGGATGTGACTTGGTCCATAATAGATGGAAAGATCCACCTCGAACGGACAGGGCCCGATGACACTCCACCCTGAGGCCAAGCATGCGAGAACGACTCTGAGCACTAAGAGGGCACCGAACACATTGGACCGTCCTGGACCACACGGAGATAATCACAGTAGATACGGCAGTTCCCAGTAGAACTCTTAGCCAACATACTTAAAGCAAATAACTCGGCTCTTGGTGAAGACTGCTTTTTGGACGGCAATGTGCCCATGAGCAACCCATCGCTCTGCCCCGTAGCACCTAAATGGACAACTGCCCATCCGCACCTGCGCAAACGCCAATCCTTAGTGTGCTTCCCCCCCGATCCGTCAACGCCCCAGACTCCGCCCTCGATCGTCCTACCTCCAGCCAGACGCCCCCACTCCCACACCTGAAGCGCGGGAGCGGGCAAGTGCCCACAGGAATCCTCAGTGGGAGGGAGCCCGCGGTACCACACACAGGCACGGTGAGGCTCAGCATTCACCCGATCGATCAGGTGATTGGTTCGATCCACGACCGAATCAGGAATAATACGATTGCTGTCGCAATCCCAAAAGCGATGATGCGGAGACTCAGCTGAGGCGCCGCACCGCGGGCACAGCGCAGGAGCGCGAGCTGAGCGCTCTCAAGTGGACGCACTGGCAGCTGAACCCTCTCCCAGTTCAGCGTGCAGAGGCCAAGGCGGGCATGGAGAACGCAGAGGAGAAGATCGCGTCACTTGAGAAGACGCAGCAGATCATCATGGACGGCATCATGTACAAAAGAACGTTGTACGATTACCACCACGATTCAATTCGTGAGGCGGTGGAGACGAGGCGCGATGTGACGGACAGTACTTGTAACGACGAGTACTTGTGACGGCGATGTGAACCCCGTAAGGATCATGGAAATATCCTGCACTGAGGTATCTGAGGGCGGGATATCACTTCCAGAAGCGAATATCGATATACTTGCGCCTCAAAGGGGGGATGAGGAATCGCTCCCCACTGCTATACGGCACAGTAAGCCTCCAAAAAGACCCCAAGACGGCACAGAAAGCCCAGCCACAAGAGGGCCTCAAGACGGCCCCAGAGACCTCCAAGCCAGCTTTAATGCGCCCCAAGGAAGCCCTTAGGACGGCACCCGAAAGCCAAGAGGCCTCCAAGAGCTCCTCTAGTTACGAGGCCCCAGGAGGCACCCAAGAGGCCTATGAGAGGCCCCCGGGAAGCCCCGGGGCGGCCCAAAGACGATCCCAGGAGGCGACCTCTTCCTCGTCCTCCTGCTTCCCATCCCTCTCTCCCTCCCTCTCCCGCACCCGAGAAAGTTCCCCAAAGGGCTGCCGGAACGGCAGGGGGAACGCGGAGCCCAGTAGCGTAGCAAGACTTCGGCACAACGATTGGCCACACGGGCGCTTCCATGAGGCAGGGGGCGGTGGTAGTTGGCCGTCGGAATTTTCGATCCGCCGCCCACGCAGCCTTCGGGGGCGCCCAAGAAGGTGGCGTCCAACAGGGGGGGTCGAAAATCATGGCCCGAGGCATGTGCAAAGGACGAGGGAGGGAACAGGGGGGACATGAAATCCATGGAGACGTCCCCCCTATGCGTACCCCCCCCCCACCCACCCACACACTGCCAGGCAGGCGGAGAGGGACCGCGGCCTCTCTGCCGTCCTCGCCGATCGCGCTGCGCAGCACCGTGCTGCACGGATGCATCAGCGCGGCAGTGCCCTCACCCCTGGGAAGCGCGGGGGGGAGCGGAGAAAGCGAGCACGGGTTTTGCTAGAAGTGCCCCTGGCCCAAGGTGCCCCCAGGATTCTCAAGGAGGCTCCAAGGCCTCCAGAGCACCCCTTGCGAGGCCCAGAGCGCCCCAGGCGCTCCAAAATTAAACGAAAAGCTGGTGGTACCTTGGGCCAGGGGCAACTTTTATCAACCCCCGACGAGCGTGGACCTCGGACGCCATGTGCCAGAGAGTACACGCCCGAAAACACGGGCCGCCGCCATTCCTGAGATCCGACGCTGCAAAAACACTGCAACATCGCCAAAAACATTACGACCGGAGCCCTGGATCCCATCTCTCTCTGCCGTTGATTCGAGCCGGATCGATCTGGCAGGGCCCGCGGGCCCGAAGCTGGGCGAGAACGCCCGGCTCAACTCCTAACAGAGGCGGAGTCCGTGGCGCAGCGTCCACACATCTGCTGATCCTCGCGCCCCAGATGCATCAGGGCCTTTGTTCTTAAGATCGGACGGTCCCAACCTGTTGAACGCCCGGTGTGGAAACATGGCCACACCAGGGTCTCAGGGCTCGCCTGGCCTCGTCCCCCCTCCGGCCGCCTCCACGAGCCGTGCCCGAGGCTGCCCCTCGTTCACCTCGCCATCTCTCAGAGGTCCATTCCCCCATGCATGCTTCGTTGTCGTGCAAGTACTTCTAACGAGGTCATGCACGATGCTCCTGGGCTGCGCGCGGCCCCGGCGGGCGGCCGAGCGCGGGCGCGGGCGCCCCCGCGCCCCCCTCCCCTGGCCTCTCTGGGCGCCACCCCCCCTCGTCGCCATAGCTCGGACGTCCATTCCCCGTGCAGGCTTCAGTGTCGTGCGAGTGTCTGGTCGTTGTTTTGCTCGCCGGCTGGCTCCTCGACGGTGGCAGCCGAGAGAAAGTGCAGGCGCCCGAGCGATGCCAAGCCCCCCTGTCGTGTCGCCCCTGCGTCCGTCGGTCCTCCCCCCTCTGCCACGCGGCTCTCCTCGCGCCGGCGCAGAAGTGCCTTCCAGGAGCGCGCAGCAGGAGCTCGACCATAAGAAAGCTTCCACGAGAAACCCAAATCCTGAGACCCCAGGACGGCCATCGATTTTCGGTGTGGGGACGTCACGCTTTCCATAGCAAAACCATGGCAGCCCAAGAGACCCAGGGCACCCTGGAGGCAAGCAGGGTGTTTCTTGGCATGGGCCTCCACTGTAAAGCAATATGGGATAACCATCGGCATGCAAGAGATACCTTGCTTTCGCCGAAGCACCCGTGTTGGTGGCGTGTAGATTCGGCCCAGATTGTCTCACTGCATGCTGGCATACTCAATCGCCTTGCGTTGCTGCCCCCCTGGCAGCCTGGCCAACGCCCGATCACCTCGCTCTGCTTGCGATCCCCCTTCCGAGCGCCACGATCATTCCGCATGGAGCAGCCATTGCCCAGCCCCTGAGACTCGAAACCCTGCACGGCGAGGGGGGCCTCTGCAACGCAGCTCCGAAACCCAGGCGGAAAGCTGAAAACCCAAGCGGAAAAGCTGCAGTACCGAGTCGGGCCATGCACTGGTAGCAGTTTGGGCCTTCTCTAGCACTGGGTAGAGCTGCTGCTGTTGGTCGTGCTACTGATGCTTTGGGACCTCCGAAGCGCCGCACATGTCGAGTCACCGGGGAGTATGCATTGGCACACGTGCTCCAGAAGCGACAACAGAAGGGGCAAAAGTACGACTGCAGCCGTGCTGCACGAGGGGGCAGTCCGCGCTGGCAAGCAGGGCTGCAGCGCGTGCGATCTCAGTCGCAACTGTGATCGCAAGCGCCGCTGCAAGCGGCATCCGCCGCCGCCCTTCGGAGGAGGAGGTACCCAAGCCGCTACCCATACCGCTAGGCAGGAGGAGGAGGAGGAGGAGGAGGAGGCGGAGGAGGAGGGAGGAGGGAGGAGCAGGAGGAGGAGGAGGAGGAGGAGGAGGAGGAGGAGGAGGAGGTGTGGCCGCGCGGCTGACGCTCTGAACCCTACAAGGTCGCGCGAAGTGCGCCACCGTGCCCTCCATGGCACGCCGAGGTTCGGCCGAATGCTTGGTGCTATCCTGTAGGGTTTCGGCGCAGTGTAGGCCCATGCCAAGAAACACTCTGCTTGCCTCCAGGGTGCCCTAGGTTTGTTGAGTTTCGATGAGAGATGGAAAGCGTGACGCTCTGACACCGAAAATCAAATGACGTCATGGGGTCTCAGGGTTGGGTTTCTCGTGGAAGGTTTCTTGTGGTCGAACTCCTACTGTAGGTCCTCTGACGCCCACCCCGCCCACTCTGCCCGCACCCAGGCTGCGCGCACCACCGCTACCCCTCCCGATGCTCTCTGGGCGGCCCTGGCGCGTCCCTGGGGCTTCTTGAGGCGCTCCAAGGCTTCCGAGACAACCCAGGGAAGCCACTAATGCCGCCAAGATGGCCCCAACATTGCCTCGATAAGCACCAAACAGCTCCCCAGAAATGTCGAATCCGCCGCCGTGCCGTGCCACCTGTCACGTGGAGGGATGGACTGCTGTCCACGGGGCTGGGGCTCGTAAAGGGGGAAAAAAGGGAAAGGTGATGGCGGCAACAAGGCGGCCGATCACGAGGATGACAGCGTGGATGGTGGGGAGGACAGCGAGGGGAGCAGACGGACCACAAGTTGGGAAGACATGCGCAAGGGCGAGGAGATGGAAGATGACGAGCACGAGGAGGACCGATGCGGGGAAGGAAGAGGACGCCGAAGGAGGACAGTACGGAGCCCGAGGCAAAAGACGTCGACGAAGGGGCGGCGTCGTGATCTTTGAGGCTGCCCTTGGGGCTGCTGGGGCAGTCTGGGCGATCGTGGGACATACAGGGGGCATCTTGCGGACAGGTCGAGGTCCTCTTAGGGGGCTATTCGGGGCTTCTTGCGCTGCCTTGGTGCGTCGTAGGGTTCTGCGGGGGCTCTACCAGGAAGTCGTGGTGCCACCTTGGGCTGTCGTGGGCCGTCTGGGGGCTTCATGAGCGCTCTTAGGACCCCTGGGGCCCTCTGTGTGTTCTTTTCGGGAGCCTTTTGGGGCTCGTCTGTATCGATTTAGTACTGCCTGGCAGGACTCCTGTTTTGAAAACGATTGCCCCGAGCTCCCGAAGCGACGATGCATCATTGAAAACAATGGGCCCGCGCTTCGAGATTCCAAGCCTGTCCATGCAGGAAAACAAGGACACCAAGGTGGCGCAATATGCATCGACAATCAGAAGAAGCCTGACACAAATATTGAACTTCATGCGGTTGGTGGCGGGTTGTCGGAATTCGCCGTTGCAAGTGCCGCGAAAGCCCACATGGGCATCCAAGACGGCCCCAAGACGGCTCAGAAGGGCCTGCAACGAAACCAAGATGCCCCAAGAGACGGCCCCAGTGGGCCTCACATGCCCACTGCGCAGCCAAGAACGTCCCAAAACGGCCCCTGGAAGCCCCAAAACTTCCGATGGGGGGGGGGGGGGGGCTCAAGGGGTCCCCAATGGGACACCCAAGACTGCCTCACAGGCGTCCAAGGCAGGCCCAAGACAACCCGAACGAGCTCCATGCCAGCTCTTCGAATGGTGAAGACGAAAGGTGTCACGTATGACGACCGTCCTCATCATCATGCTCGTGTTCCTCCTCCTCTCCTCCTCCTCCTCCTCCTCATCCTCCTCATCCTCATGCTCCTCCTCCTCCTCCCCCTCCTCCTCCGCCTCCGCCTCCGCCTTCTCCGCCTCCTGCCCCTCCTCCTCCTCCTCCGCCTCCTCCTCCTCCTTCCCCTCCTCCGCAAACCCATCAGCATCATCCACATCATCCACATCATCCACATCATCATCATCATCATCATCATCATCATCATCATCATCATCATCATCATCATCATCATCAGCATCAGCATCATCATCATCAGCATCATCATCATCATCAACATCAACATCAACATCATCAGCTCTATCGTCATCAATCACCATCATCCGCATCCGCATCAGCATTATCAGCATCATCAGCAACATCATCATCAGCATCATCATCATCATCATCAATGTCGGCGTCATCATCATCACCAGCACCATCATCATCATCATCATCGACATCGTCATCATGATCATCATCATGATCATGATCATGATCATCAGCATCATCATGATCATCATCATCAGCATTAACACCAACATCATCATACTCAGCATCACCATCAGCGCCGTCATCATCACCATCACCAGCATATATACATCATCACCATCACCATCATAACATCATCATCATCATCAGCAACATCAGCATCGGCGTCATCAGCATCAGCATCGTCATCAGCATCATCAGCAGCATCATTATCATCAGCGTCATCAGCAACATCAGCACCACGTCCATCAGCATCACCATCATCAGCAGCATCAGCATCAGCATCGGGCGCGCGCCAAGCAGCATCAGCATCATCATCAGCAGCAGCGGTATCATCAACATTATCAGCAACATCAACACAACGTCCATCATCAGCGAGGGTGCGCCGCTGGATCTCCCCAAGGAGGGGGGGGGGGGCCCCCCCCCCCCCTCCCTTTCCTCGATCCGTCGTCGGGGACACCCCCCCCTTCCCCCCCTTCCCCGATCCGTCGTCGGGGACCCCCCCCCCCCCTTTCCTGGTCCGTCGTCGGGACCCCCCCCCCCTCGGCCCCTTTCAAAAGGGGGGGGGGTCCGCATCTTCCCCCCCCCTCCCCCCTCTTGGCCGCAACCCCCCCCCTCACCGTCCCCCACTTCCGCCACGCCGCCCCCTGACACTCCGGACCCCGACCCCCGCCACCCCTACCCCTAGTTCTCACCCGAACCCAAACCCCTAAGCCTAACCCCAACCACTAGACCCAGCCCCAAAGAGTACTCACTACTCATTACTCGCTACCCACTACTGACTACTCGCTATTCGCTACTCACTTCTCACTACCCCCTACTCACTACTCACGACTCACTACTCACTATCCACTACTCACTACTCGCTATTCACTACTCCCTAC